CGCCTGTAGTGTCTCATGCCTGGAGTCCCAGCTACTCTGGAGGCTGAAGCAGGTGGATTGCTCGAACCCAGGAGTTCAAGTTTGCAGTAAGCTATGATCGCAGCACTGCAATCCAGCCTGGGCGAAAGAGCGAGACACTGTCTCAAAATAAAATAAATAATAAGTTCACAAGTGAAGAAATAAATTTTTATGAAAATAGCCATATTTTCCAAAGGAAAAGAAAGGCCAAGTGAGGAGAGTGGCGTTGCTCCCCATTTTTGTGACTCTCTTTAATGTCTCACTTTCTAGAAGACAGCTGAGTTATCAGACCTGCTTTCGCATTGGGTCTTGTGACAGACTGTTTTGATTGACATCTATGAAGAAAATCTGGCATCACATAGATATGTCATTGGAAAAGAGGTCCCCACAGCACCCCTAAAATGGTCTTAAGGGTGCTTCCCCAAAGTCTACAGACCACATGTTGAGAAATGGCATTCTAACCACCCTGTGTGAATCTCTACTCACTTTTTGGAAACACGCACCTCTATTCCCAAGCCCATCATCTCTCCCCATTAATAGCCATCTGTCCCCTGGTTGTCGAAGCTCCAGTCATGGAGGGCCCATTTCTTTGAGATGCCATGTGCTGCTCTGTGCTGGGTCGGGCAGCTCAGTAGGGAGCCAAGAGTGACTCAGCCACACTCTCCGAGTGTCACTCCCCACCAGCAGTGACTCAGACGCACCTGCTGGTGTTCCCAGACGTCCTGATGAGGAACTGTCCACAGGCACAGTTCCTAGAGGTGGCACCGTTAGACCCATCATGAGGAAAATAGGATCGTCCTCAATGCCTCATGCTTTTTAGGATGGACCAGCCCCTCCAAGACTAGTGCAGTGCACAGGAGGAGCTGCAGGGACCACACCCGGATCTGATTCTTCCGCTTCCCTGGCACATGCAGCAGGCCCCCGGTGCCTCCTCCCATTCTGTGTCTTCCTGAGAGCGAGGGCAGGCCATGGGCGCAGAGTCAGAGAGGAGTCTGTTCCCAGGGCTGTGGCCCGGGCTGCAGCCTCCTGAGACACCTGAGGATATGGTGAACTCTTCTCCCTCACACCCAGCCCCTGAGGTAGTCCCAGCACCTGGTGACACCATCTTCCCCAAGAACCTGGCTTGGGGAGGGGGCATGGAGAGGACATCAAGGAGGCAGGAAGTGGCCCAAGGTCCTCAGGACTATGAAGTGCCCTCAGTTAGCACAAGCATCCTGTGGACCTAGGTGGGGTCGAAATAAAGCAATAAAGCAATAATGTGTGCCATGGCCTCTGGCTTTCCCTGTTGTAGCCCTGGGACCTTGGGGAGCCCCACCCATCTGGAATTCACAGGGTGGGCCAGCGTTGGCGTGACTCACAGTGACCCTGAGCTGCCTTTCTGGGAGACCCTCCTCCTTCCCTCCCCATCCTGTGTCTACACGCCTTTTCCCCTCCCAAGCAACAACCTCAGGAACCCAGACAGCACTCCAGAGAGGCGGAGCCACAGTCAGCAGCTGGGCGCCCAGGGGGACAGCACGGGAAATAGCGGGAGCGTGGGCTCCAGAGAGGACATTTGGCATCTTCACAGCCCTGCCCAGCCTCCTGGGTTGGCATCTGGGATTTTCTTGCTCCTTCCAGGGACAGCCTAGACTGGCTTGGAGATGTAGGGGGTCCAGGAAGATGGGGCAGGGCCGGTAGGAATGCAAGAAGCCCAGGCAGCCATCTAGTCCAGAGCTTTCAAGCTTCTCTTTGGAAGAGAGCTGCATTCGTCTGTCTGTCTGTCTGTCTGTCTGTCTGTCTGTCTGTCTGTAACCAGGAGCTGCTCTGTAAGAGCCGCAGCCCGCAGCCCTGCTGGCTCCTCTCACCTCCCTCTTGTCCACCCCAGCCCCCAACCCTCAGCCCCAAGATCTTGGAACACACTTTAACAATCACTAGTGCAGTTCATCTGCCCATTTCACAGATGGAGAAATGGATCCTAAGAGGGAAGTCTCTTGCCACAGACTTACAGTGAGTTGGGGCTGGTCAGGGCCTAAAACCCAGTGCTATTTCCCAGGGTCATTCACCGACAGACAGCAGGGACAGCCATAACAGGGAGACCACTAGGTGCCAGGGGTGCTCACAGAGGAGAAGGGTGCCCAGGAACAAAACAGAGGAGGGACAGAGGCTAGCATTAAGTCACCAACCACAGAGGAGCAGCCCAGCCTGCTCGACGGACTGTAAAAGAAAAATAACTCCATGCCTCTGGCCTCCTCCACGTGGCCTCCAGTCTAGCCTCTGATGCTGGGAATAACCACCCTTCTGTTTCCACCTGATCTGCCCTCCTTTCCCAGCTCCCTGTCCCCACTCAGGCCCTCTGAGACCGCAGAACACAAGCCCTTTGAGTTTCAGCTCTCCTGTGTCCCCAGCCTCCTTGCACCCACGGAGGGCGGGGCTGTGATTTTGCACATTAGTGGGTGATAGTTTGTGTCCTGGGGTCTCTCGTGTCCACACAGTTCCAACACACCCTCCTGACCACGAGGCCAGCCTGGACTCTGTGTGCCCAGATCCCCGCCCAGCCCCTGATTTCCGCATTTTTCTAGGGAGAGAGCTCGTGGCTTTTGACACATTCTCAAATGGGTCTGTGGTCCAGGAGACTGAGAACCCCTGCAGAAGGGGAGGACGGGCCTTCCAGGGAAGAGGGGTCAGAAATGAAGTAGAAAGAGCACTGCAGCTTCCTCTCTTCCCTGCCAGAGACTTTACGTGTATTGCTTGGTCTTTCCGTTACCTCCTTGTGATGCTGGGGTCACTGTCCCCATTTCTCAGATGATGAAACTGAGGCTCAGCAATGTCAGGTTGCTTGCTTCAGGACACAGCCCTGGCTGAGGGATTGAAAAAGCCAGGTCAGGGCCAGAGGTCAAAGGCGAGTATTGCCCCTGCTTCTACAAGGGGGTGCAGCTCTAGAACCTGCACCGGCCAGTGCTTCAGAAGCCTCCCATGACTGCATCCATACCAGACCTTGAGCCCCCAGGTCCTGGTTCCCAGCAAACCTGGCACAGGTCCTGACAGTCTGCCTCCAAGGTTAATTCTTGCCACATGGAAAACACAGTCCTCACAACTGGTCTCTTGTGTCCTCATTGAAGCATGAATGAAGCTATAATGAGGGTGGGGGCAGAGTGCCCCCTCACCAATGCAGGTAGGACCCAGCTCGCAGGTGGGGTTCAAGGGGGTGCCCCTCAGGAAGCTCCTCCCACCCCTGGGCATGACACTCAGGTCCTCCAGAGCCCCCGGCAAAGACTATTTGCTTGTAGCAATGTCAGCTGCCAGACCACAGAGCCCGTCCCTGCCCTCCATCTGCCCAGCTCACCCACCCTCTCACCATCCCTTGGCCAATAAGAGCAGTGCGATCTGCAGAGCAGGCCTAAGGCTGAGCCTGCGCCCCGCCTCCAACCTTCCTGAAATCCCAACAGCACAGAAGGCGTGGGCCTTGGTGTCTCCATCTGTAGACAGCGTATGACGATGTCCAGCCTGCTTGCCTTCCAGGGATTTCTAAGAATCACGTGGGGAAGTTATTTTAAAAGTTTAGACTACAAACAAAATGACAAGGAGGAAACTCAGCTGGTCACCCACACATTCCCAGCCCAGATGTCCCGTCCCCAGGGTGCTGGACCCTAGCCATCTGGGCTGGGAGCCTTTTTCCTCTGGGCTGTGCTGGGGCAGCTGTGGGAGTCCCAGAGTGAGGACAGCCCGCAGTGGGTGGGCCTGCTTTCCCCCCCGACCCAGGGATGCCTCTTGTTCCCCAGGATGGTGTGAGGACAGTCCCCAGATGGGAATGTCATCATTGCCTGGTCTGTGCAAGGCACCAAACTGGGGGCAGGGACCGCAGTGCGGATCATACCCAAGGATGGCAGAAATTGGAGGGGGTGCCCTTGAGGAAAGGGAGCAGCTGTGCCCACCCCTTTCACATGGAGTGGCATGAAGCACAGTCCCCACCCCAGGGCAGGAGCATCACGTTTCCTTCCTTCTCCAAAGCAGATCACTCCATTTTAAGCTCAGGGGTCTTATGACCTACTTTAGAGGAAGGTCACAGGATTTTTCAGGGCCTGCTTCAGGGGAGAACAGCACTCAGAGAGACTTTCCTGCGTCGGCTGCCTCCTCAGGTGCCAGGGTGCCATTTTCTGGGGTGGTGTTTTCTGAGCCTCCAAACCCGATCCCTCCCTCAGACCCAAGGAAGCCCTGCTCCAGCGGTTTCTGCTGCGGCCCTGTCACACTTGGTGGCCCTTGCCTCCCGTCGGAGAGGGAGGACTCCACTCAGTAACTTTCTCAGGGAGTCCTGGTGGGGTTTCCCTCTGGGTGCCTGGCAGGCTCTCCTTAGAATCCCACCACTCAGAAACCCCCAAGGCAAAAGAACACTGGGGCTGCATCAGCCACAGAAGGAGCAGTACCAATAACATCAGAAGCAGGAAGAAAACACAAATAAATAACAATAAACCATCCTGTCATAAGGCAGTTTTGGGCCAGGCGCGGTGGCTCACACCTGTAATCTCAGCACTTTGGGAGGCCGAGGCAGGTGGATCACCTGAGGTCAAGAGTTCAAGACCGGCCTGGCCAACATGGTGAAACCCTGTCTTAAAATAAAATAATGAAATTAAAAAAACAAGGCAGTTTTGCCAATTCCAAATTTTGCCATGATGGAGAAGCAGCTGCTCACACCGCAGTGGGCTACCCTTGGCTTCCTCCCCTGGAAAACCAGAGAGACAAAGGTCAGGGGCTGTGCTAGGAGAGGGCCACAAGCGAGGACCTGCAGAAACTGCGGAGCCTGCAGAGGCCAGTCCACCCTCTTCCTCAGCTCGGAGGTCAAGACAAACAGGCAGGGCCTGCCCCAGCCCGAGGGAAGTTCTGCAGACACTCCTGCTGGGGCTCTGCAAGGCAGAGTCACTCCAGTGGCCTGTGCCTACTTCTGGGGATGCTGGGTGAGCTGGGTGGGACAGCCAGCCCTGACCTCTGGGCATCCTTTGCTCTTGCAGGACCTGGGCATGGAGTCGACCTCTCTGGATGACGTTCTGTATCGCTACGCCAGCTTCCGGAACCTGGTGGACCCCATCACACACGACCTCATCATCAGCCTGGCACGCTACATCCACTGTCCCAAGCCGGTAAGGCAGCTGTGGTCCAAGCCAGCCAGGTCCTGGGGTGTGCCGTGGGTGCCTTTCTGGGCAGAGCAGCTCTGTGCCCAAGGAGGACTGGCAGACATTGCCCAGGCCCAAGGAGGATAAGCCAATCCTTCAGGCACCAAGAGCCTGAGGTGCTCTCCCTTGGCGCCACCAGCACAAATTGGTTTTGTTTGGCCCAGGGGGTGTGAATTCACTGCCAACACTTAAAAACCAGAGTTTTTCACATGATCCCTATATTCAGCTGCCCTTGAAAAACTGAAGTTCCAGCAACTTGAAGCCTTCATTTCTGCAGGGCTGCAGCTAAGTAGCCATCCCTGTTACATGGGCCAAGGCCACCACATACAGTTGTACAGGTTGTACCTTGTACAAAAACATGCATACAGAGAGGTGGCGGGGTAGGGGGAGGCAGGGGAAAGTTCAAATCCAGCCGTCTCTCTACCCACCAAGTCGTGAGCCCTGGTGCAAGCCGGTGTCCCCTGGAGGTAAACCTGTTTGCACTAAGGTGTCATAGAAGGCTGGCCGTGGCCCTGCAAGGGGATGTCCACTTTGCCTCAGTCCCCACCACTCCCAGATGTCTTCACCTCTGAGGCTGACTGTTCTTTGACATCCTCCCCTTCGCTCATGTCCTTTCCTGCCTTGCCCTGGAGCTCAGAAGGGAAAGGTCCATGGCTCTCCAGGAAAGGTCCTTGGCTCTCCAGGCTCCAGATCTGCAGCTCAGCCCCTGGATGGGAAGTTCTGCGCCATTCCTGCAGCTTAGGTCTAGGCTTCCCCAGGGCTATGCAGCTGGAGCTGTTGGGAAGGGAGGGCCGGGCAGGGCCATTTTCACACTTGAGTGCTTCTCTGTTGCTTTGAATTTTTCTGTCTCGTCGCTCAATTTCCAGTGGCTTCCAAAAGAAGTGCTTCCCCCCTGGCAATCAGGAAACCAGAGCAGGACCAAGGGGTGTGGGAGGGAAGCTCTTCCTTTTGATGTAGGATCTGGGCCAAGAGTAAGATGGTTCCCAAGCCCAACCCTCGCTCGGCCCAGGCACAGATTTGACTGTGATCCTACAGTGAGCTGGAGCCTTGCTCTGGAAAGGCATTTCCTGGGGCTGAGCTCCATCTGCGCTTTGTTGAGGGCCTTCTCTCTGACTCTGGGACTACTTGGTGCAAAGGCTCTGAGGTGGGGCTCAGCCATGGAGCTGGGAGCTGGCCAGGGCCAGATCGCAGCACTGCAGAAGGCAGGGATACCGGGCCCAATGGGAGGGGAAGGAAAGCTGGTGATGAGGGAGCCTGGAGGCCTGACTGGTGCCAGGAGCTATGGGGAGCTGGCTGGGGCTGACGCCTCCGACGCCTCTCATTCAGTTCCACCTGGTTCTGCCTGGGCAGAGGGTAAGGGACGGGAGTCAGGCCTGCGAGGAGGCCCTGCGGGTGCCAGACCCTACCTTTCCTAGAGCAGGAATCGAGTCGCTCACAGAGGAAAGGGTGAAAGGTGATGGGGCTCTCAAAAAAACAAAAAAGAAATAGGGCTATATTTATGCACACCTTTGAGTTGAGGAAAACAAAATTCAGGTAATCCAGTGATCTGAGCAAGGTTACACCTCGAAGGAGAACCACAGGTGTGATCTGGGCCCATGCAGTAACCCAGAGCTGGGCGGGACACAGGCCCGAGTTCCCTGAGTCATCAGTGCCCACGGGGGCAGAGGAGGGACCTGGTGGGAGCAGCTGAGATCCCACCCTTCCCCACCTGCCCCCTCACAGGATGCCTCACGGAAGGTCTGTGTGGGGAGAAGGACCCACCCACTCAGAGAGAGAGAGGCAGGCTCCAGTAACAAAAAAAAGAGAGGCCAGGGAGTGGGTAAAGGCCATGGTCAGACCCTGTGAGACAGGGCCAGGCAAGGCCGGGAGGAGGGGCGGGAACTCCTTCCCTCTGATCTTTCCTTTCCATCTGGGTAGGGGCCGGGCAGGGTGGGGGCAGTGCATACCTGGGTTGTCATGGTCCATCCAGGTGACTGTAACAAATTATCATAGACTGGGAGGCTTATAAACAGTAGAAATTTATCTCACACACTTGTGAAGGCGGGAAGTCTGAGATCTGGGTGCCAGCCTGGTCGGTGACTGGCGAGGACCTTTTTCTGGGATGCAGACAGTTACCTTCTTGTGTCCTCACATGGCAGGAAATGGGCAAAGGAGCACTAATCCCATTGTGAGAGCTCCACCCCCACCCATCACCTCGCAAAGGCCCCACCTGCGAATACCATCACCGGGGGATTAGGTTTCAACACACGAATTTTGGGAAATACAAACTTTCAGTCCATTGTGTGGTGTAACCCTTCTCAAACCACTTAATTACCTGGACTTTGTTTTCCTCAAAACAGAGCCAGGGCCAGCCAGAGTGGGTCAGCCCTGCTGAGGACCAGAGACCTGACAGCCCCTTTCATGCCCATGTGGCAAGTGAGGCTCTCTGGATGAGGCAGGGTGGGAGGTCCCCAAGCTGGTCAGAGGAGCAGCCCCTCTCCATCCATCCCAGCTCTCTGAGCTGGCTCGGGGCTGACCAAGACGTCCTGCTCAGAGCAATTTGCATCTGAGAAGTTCCTATCATCCCATGTTATGGGTCTAGAGATTGAAAATCCTTCAGTGAGGGGCTGTGCTGTGGCTTAACTAAAACCCAGACTCCTCATCTGGCTTTGCCTGAATTCCTGAGCTCCCCTCTCCCACTTGCCGCCCTGCGGGCTCTGCTTTAGCGTGTGGGCCTCCCTCCTCTCTGCTCCTGACACCTCCACACCCTCTCCTACCTTAGGAACTTCACTGCTCCCTCTGACTGCTGCAGCCTCCTCTGTCTGAGCTTCCTTCTGCTGAGTTCAGACTGAGCCTCCAGCCTCTAAGAGGCCTTTGTTGACAAGCCTGCCTAAGGTAGGCTCCTGATCAGCCTGTCTTGAGCCCCATTTATTTTTCCATTCATTTCTCCGTTTTACTTACTGGTCTCTGAAATTATCTTGCTTATTTATTTGTTGGCTAATTTATTGTGTTTTCCCCACTAGAATATAAACTCTGAAGGGAAGAGTGTCTGTCTTGTTCACAGTTCCATTCTGCACCAGGCAGGAAGCAGGCGACATGTTCCCTTGTGAAATTTGAAGAGAGTTTAGTAAAGGGTTGAGGACAGGATAAAGGAAATCAGCAAGGGATGTTGAGACATCCAAAGACAGCTGCGCTGGGAAGCCGTTTCACAGGAGGGCAAGCCGTACTGCCAGAGGCAGGGTGAGAACACGTGGCCTGGAACCACGCTGCGTTATCCATTGCTGTATATCAAATTACCAGAACTTAGTGGCTTAAAACAACAGATGTTTATTGTTATACTCTCTGTAGTCAGGATTGCAGGGGCGGCTGAGCTAGGTAGCTCAGCTTTGGGTCTCTCAAGACATGGGTCGGGGCTGCAAGTATCAGAAGGCTTAACAGAAGTTGGCAGGTCCACTTCCAAGCAAGGTGGCACACTCGCCCCATAGCCTGTCCATGGGACTGCTTGAGTGTCCTCGAACCGTGGCAGCTGGCCTATCCCACAACAGGTGATCATATAGAAGCCATGATGCCTTTGTTTTTTGTTTTTCTTTTTTTTTTTTTTTTTTTTTTGTGGGGGGGGGGGGGCGGGGACAGAGCCTTGCTCTGTTGTCCAGGCTGGAGTGCAGTGGTGTCATCTCAGCTCACTGTGACCTCTGCCTCCTGGGTTTAAGCTGTTCTTCTGCCTCAGCTTCCCAAGTAGCTGGGATTACAGGCGCCCACCACCACGCCCGGCTAATTATTTGTATTTTTAGTAGAGATGGGGTTTCACCATGTGGGCCAGTCTAGTCTCGAACTCCTGACCTCAGGTGAATGGAGGGCAGTGGAGAGCTGTGCTTGTCAGGTCGTGGAGCAGTTACAGAGGTGCCTGGGGAGTGAAGATGGCAGGTGGTATCACTGCCTGATGGCTGAGACAGAGTAGGCTCGGGTGCTGGGACCCCTCCCAGGTCAGCCTACAGGTCTGCATGTCATCTTTCCTGACAGGTTAATGAGAAGCCCCTCAAACACGTTCTGCCCCAGGACCTGGGCAGCCTCTCTGGGAAGGTCTGGAGAGGCTGCTGCCCCGGCCTGCACTCATAGTCACCTTGACTGTGCCACATCCCACTCCTGCCTTCTTCAGGGATGTGGGGAGGGCTGCAGTGAGTTGATTCTGCACACAGCCACTGAGCCTTCTGCTTGAGATTATGCTGCACAGGTGGGTTGGCTCCAGTGAGAAAGAACGTGTGTCCTGCAGATACTGAGGGGTCTTGTGGGGCCACAGGCAGCCAAGTTAGACCAAGGCGCTAGAACTACAGATAAGCACGGTGCAGAGGCCCTCCACCCCTCCTCCCTGCTCCACGCTGCCTCCCTCTCCATTCCCTCTGCACAGACTGCTCTTCCCCGTGCCACATGGTAGGGAATGTGGCTGGCTCTCGCTTCCAGGTAACTTCTCAGGGTTCCAGCCCCTGGGAGTTAGGGTATGTGTGGCTCAGTGTCAAGTCCAGCTTCGAGGGAAAGGGCTAATTGGCTGCACTGTGTCAGCGCCCACTTCTGGACCAGTCCACGGCAGGGTCTGGTTGCACGGGACCTATGTGACATATGGTGCCTGTTGTCACAGAGCTCTGGGCCAGGGTTTCATCAGGGCACTTGTCTGCTGTGCACCTGGGAGGCAGCTGTTTCTCAACATTGAAACCACTCAGGAAAGACAGTTCCTCCTCCTCCACCTCCACCTCCTCCTCTTGCTCCTCCTACTCCTCCTCCTCCTCATTTTCCTCCTCCTCCTCCTCTTCCTCATTGTCCTCCTCATTTTCCTCCTCCTCTTCCTCCTCCCTTCCTCATCTTCCTCCTTCTCATCTTCCTCCTCCTCATCTTCCTCCCCTTCTCCTCCTCCTACTCTTCCTCATCTTCCTCCTCATCTTCCTCCCCTTCTCCTCCTCCTCCTCTTCCTCATCTTCCTCATCTTCCTCCCCTTC